CCAGCTACGATCAGTGCGGTGTTGTTGAGAGAAGAAGAATAAATCCAACAACCAATATACTTTGTCAGCCACACTCTGACCGATGCTGAGACCATTACCCCTTGCTTGAAAAAGTTGCATACGCAGTGCTGGTAGCAGCTCGGAAGTTGAGGACTTGAGGCCCTATTTTGACTCTCATCAAATAGTGGTCTTGACTGATCAGCCGTTGGAAAAAGTCCTCGGAAAGGTGGAAAAGTCCGGCAGACTAAAGAAGTGGGCTTTTTGCGCTCACTGAGTTCAGCATAAGTTACCGGTCGAGGGCAGCAATCAAGGCTCAGGCCTTGGCTGATTTCCTAGCCGAGTGCTCCTATCAGAAGACACTGGACGAGGAAAAGAAAGTCTGGACTGTTTTCACGGATGGCTCTGCCACCGTGAATGGTTCGGGGGCAGGGGTAGTCATCACCTCTCCCGAAGGCAAAGTTTCCAACAACGAAGTTGAATATGAGGCAGCAATTGATGGTCTATAGTTGTGCATAACATTGGAAGCCGAACATGTCTGTTTAAAAACAGACTCTCAGCTCGTCGCAAATCAGATCCGAGGCGAATATGAGGCCAAAGAGCCCTCAATGATCTCCTACCTCGCCAAGATCAAAACAGTCATAGCGAAGCTTAGAACCTTTGAAATTGAATTGATCCCAAGGGGTCAAAACGCTCAAGCCGATGCACTCTCCAAACTTGCAAGTTCGTCTCTCACTGAACTGAACTGGTCGGTATATGTGGAAGTGCGTCAAGAAAGAAGTATCGACCAAGAGCCCGAGGTTCTTTGTGTCGCAAATGAGCCGAGCTGGATGGACCCCATCCTAGCTTACTAACTTCAAGGAAAGCTCCCCGAAGACAGGATCCTTGCTTCGAAACTGAAAAGAATTGGTTCAAGGTTCATCGTCTACAATGGGGAACTTCTGAAAAAATCCTTCTCAGCCCCACTGCTGAAATGTGTGGGCCCAACAGATGCAGATTACATCCTTCGGGAAATTCACCTCGGCATATGCGGGAACCACATAGGGGGAAGAACCCTAGCCCATAAAGCACTAAGGGCAGGGTATTATTGGCTTGTTCTTCGGGGAAAATCAGGGACATTGTTCTTCGGAATGCTGCTGCTGTCCAGAATGGCCGTATCCATGGAAAACTAGGAGGGGCCCTATGAAATATACGATGAGCTCCAACCAGGGACTTATCGACTTCGGCAGTTAGATGGAACTGAGCTGAAAAACAACTAAGTTCAAAGCTACTCAAACAGGCAGAACGAGAAGAAAAAGATGAAATAGTGCATCGTCATTCAAAAGTTAAGAGTACAAATGTCAAGTTCAGTGATGCCGTCCTCTTCCATGATGCCGTAATATATCTCCAGTTGTTCGGCGAAACAGAACTCAGCATCATTTTCAACCCGCCAAGGGTAGGGTGCCGCATTCATGATACCCTCATTTTCTCGGATATCGGTCCATTCCCTCTCTTTGGGAGTCAGCGGCCTCCGAGCCGAGGACCTACTTCGGCCAGAAGTACGGCCACCTCAGAATCTGGTGGAGGCATGCTAGTTAAGGGCACCGCTCTCAGAAACAGCAGCAGGCCCAGTCCTCGCATTTGGGTTCTGACCGCTCAGCGGCGGCATCATCGCCAGAGGGCGGTCCCGCTTCAGAATCAACTGAGGAACCTCTTCCTCACCCTCGGACGTGGGTTCGGGCTCAATCGGCCTCTTCCCTCGGTCTCTGGGCATAGTTTAAAGGAGAAAGGTTCGAGAAAGGGAAAATAGTATAAAGCAAGGAAAACCGAAAAAGTTTCAGAAGAAATTACCTTTAACAGACTCGGAATTCACCGATCCATAAGTTCGGAGAATCGGGTTTTGGTTTAATGCTTCGGATTGCTCATATTGAGTGAAAAGAGAAGTCGGGTTAATGCGTGCGATTAAGGGGAATGAGGAGTTTTGAGTGGATAAGCGAATGATTAATGGCGAAGGCGGCTTAAGTAAATTTCTGGAAAGAGATTTCCCAGATCAAACGGCCGTCAAACAATCCCATTAATAGCACGTCAGTTCGTGGCTGCTCGAATTCTCCTTCCTTAACTACAAACCGCCAAAATTAATTGCCCACTAAGTTCTTTCCAATTACCCACTAATCACAATTAACGGTTATTAAACCTGACAACTTCCTTAAAACAAAATTTAAATTATTTTCATTTACTTCCCTCCAAATTTCACAAAATCCGAAAACTCGACCTATAATCCTCACGAATCGGGTCTAGGGGACAAGTTGTTTGGGGTCCAAATAACTTGTATTTGGGCCCAGTCCACAAATGAAAATAAATAAAGCCCAAAAGCAAGGTTCAACTCTCCAGCCCATATGCCAAGTCAGTCAACAAACCCAATCAAAAGTCAGCCCATTTGATTAATCAAGGCCGCTCCATTCATTTGGACAAAGGTATAAAAGCCATCACTTGACATCATTTACATTCATTCACTCATAGCCTCAAGCATTTAATTATCTTGCATAGCTATTCACTCTTACTCGTACTGACTTCGGCATCGGAGGGGCCTTCCTCGGCACACCCCCAAGGCCACTTTACATGTGTTCAGCTTTGCAGGAAACCCTTAATTCGGATATCTCTCGAATTGGGCCTCATCTCCATTCTTTCGAAGGACCTGCCGAAGGTCCATTGTTTTCTAACCGAAACAGAAGATATAAAATATTCTTAAGCAGCTCATACCAAATTTCATGCACAAGCATTGCAATTGCAAACTATACCACGCAAATCACACAATGTACATTTTTCTAATATATAATGTACATTAACATCATTCCCCATGTACATTCAATACTACCATGCCCCATTCAATACTAAAATCCATTCCAAATTACATGTAACATCATTCCAATTGCAAACTACACCACACAAAACACGAATATACATATTTTAATACATTATGTACATTCATATCATGCCCCATGTACATTCAATAATACCATGCCCCCATGACTACTCAAATAGACGCAAATACCTATCTAATTCATTAACCACGAACACAAAATATCAATTAATCCCACAATACTTACCTCCACTGTTTTCAAGCTTGAGGCATTCTTCATCAACATCACATACCAAATTAGAGCTCATCACTTCCTCCGCAATACAAAGCTGCTCAACACTAGCCGTCATTGTTCTTCCCTCTTATATAAAATCGCCCTCTAACCAACACTTTCATAAAAATTTTGACAAGAAAATAAATGGGGTTTAAATAAGTGGAATTCTGTTCAAATATATGAAATTTTTGATTCAAATTCGAAAATATTTGTAATCATTACCCAGGTTTGCATGTGAAAATGAAATGCCAGCAAAATTCTGAGCCCATCAACCTTTCCACTACACGATGCGTCCCATGCACCCGGGTGCACCTTCTAATTTACCCTATAAGACTAGCCATCTTATAATTAAAAAAGTTTAGTTTATGAAAAAAATACAAATTTCATTTACAAAAAAGTGCTATTCCAATTTTATGACATTTGAAACAAGTTTTATTTACTCTATGCTTAAAAAAACGATCTTGCTTTACTAGCAGACGCTTCCGGTTAATAGTTTAAGTAGAATTCAGTCAAAACGAACCAGTGGAACTGCGTTTTAGAAGTAAGCTGTGAAGAAATGGTGGGGGCGGTGGATGGATTGATGTCTGGCGATGTGAAAGTGCAAAGACAAGAGATAGAGATTAATGACTACACACAGCTTCATTATTTTCTAGAATGCAGAGTTCCGATTCTTTGTGCTGTTTGCAGATTAACCAACCATGTGAAAAGTGTGGACATAGCCCTGTTGAGCTGGTGAATTCAAGACAAGTAAGATCTAACCAATACTTACTCCGTCCCTAATTATTTGCTTTAAAAACTTTGACCACGAATTCTAATTATATTATAACAAATAGGGTGATTTGCAAGAAACTACCACGTAAAAACACTATCTTGTGAAAAACTACCACGTAATCTTGTGAAAAATTACCACGTAATCTTGTGAAAAACTATCACATAAAAACAATCTTGTGAAAAACTACCATATTAAAATATCCAATTGCACGATACCACCATATTAAACCGGGTCAATGATCAGAAAACCACCATGTGGTGGTATTGTGCAATTGGATATTTTAATATGGTAGTTTTTCATAAGATTGTTTTTATGTGGTAGTTTTTCAAAAGATGGTGTTTTTACGTGGTAGTTACTTGCAAATTATCCTAACAAATAATATATCCAAGTGGGATTTTGTTAGATTCATTTCAACGTTAATTTTTAGAATATAAAGTTTTTATACAAAGTATTTTTTTTTGTCTTATTAATTTAGAAATAAAAATGTTTTAAGTAGTGTATTGAAAACCATAAAAAGTCAAATGAGATAAAAAAAAAATAAAACAGAGCAAGCTAGTTTACAACTGTATATGGGGCAATCGTCTTTCAAAGAGGGATACAGGTTTGAATTGTAAACATTAATTACACTATTACTCCCCTTCCGCTTAATTGTGAACTGTTATCCAATGAAGGGGAGCCCTTATCTGTCACTACTATGCGTCGCTCTTTGATTGGGAAATTGAATTTCTTAATGCACATTAGACCAGATTTGAATATTCGGTTCAAATGTTGAGTCATTTTATGCAAAATCGCACTAATGTTCCCTTGGCAGCCTTACATCACTTGCTTAGATAAGTTTCTAGCACCATCGGTAAATGCATCCTTTTATATGGCTCTAACAAACTCACCATACAAGCCTTTTCCGATAGTAATTGGGTTGCTTGTCCAGATACTCGTAGATCAGTCACCAATTGCGTTGTTTTGTTAGGTAACTTTCTGATTAGTTGGAAATCTAAAAAACAACCTACGGTATCAAAATCTTCTTTTACTGTTTGTTCAAGTTAAAATATATTGTTCAGAATTCGTTTACCCTTGTGCTATAGTAAAATTTTCATCATAAGAGAATAAATACATCAATATAATAAAGATTTTCAATTAATAAAGTTGAAATAATATCGAAGAAATATACACCTACAAGGCAATCATAATTCATGAAAATTATTTATTGGAAGATTAAATTGCAAATACATATGGGATGTATAGGAAATTGAAAATTAATGAGTTTCAATTAAATTGCCAACAGCCAGCAGGCAAGCAATCACAAAGAGAAGGCCCATAAACAAAGCCTCGAGTTCCATCTGGGCAGGGCCAGCCTGCAACAATACACGGCCCGATAAGTGGGATGCATTCCCAATCTTCTAATGCTTTCCCTTGCATCGCCATACCTGAAAACACAAACACCATTAAAACTATTTTCATATATATATATTTTTCATTAGAGAAATTTCTAATTTATACCTGATATAAATATATTAAGGGGTATTTTTGTAATTTTATTTTTATATCTGGTATCATAATGTCTATATCTGATATTCGTTTTTTTGGTATTTTTATAACATCTGTATTTCTATATCTGATATAATAATACCTTTATCTGGTATAAAAATAGTTATATCTGATATAATATTACATATATTTGAGATTTCAGTATCCTGATATAATTTATATCAGATATGAATTAGGAAAGCTCTTATTCATTATCATTCTAGCTTTGGAAATATTGAAGGTAAAAAAATTGATTGCCACAAAACATACATCAACTTTTGTAAAGAAAAGAGCAAAATAAAAGCTAACCTAATAAAATAAGTAGAAGGAATGAAGCCAAAATGGCCTGTTTGAAATAGAAATGGTTGAAGGAAGCCATGTCTGAATGCCTGTGCGTTCAAATGTTTTGGTGTATGTGTTAGAAGGGATGCCTTCTTCACCCATATTTCCTACAAATTTATACTGGGTTCCATTGACTTTTAAACTAGTTTCTTATTCTCTATAATAATGCAACTGCTATAAATATATATATATTATATATATAAATACTTAAAAATGATACAAATGTCCAAAGTTATATACATACTACGTTAACTAGCTTTTGTCAACGATCTGTAGGTTTTAGGTGTAGCTGGTTTTCCATGTTCGCCTCTGATTGAGATGCTTTCGTTTCCCTCACGAAAAAAATGCATTAGTCAACTATTGTCTCTTTCCCTACAAGAAAGCCCCATTTGACTTTCGCGATATCATAAGAGAATAAATACATCAATATAATAAAGAAATCCAATTAATAAAGTCGAAATAATATCCAAGCAAAATACACCCACAACGCAATCATAATTCGTGGAAATTATTTACTGGAAGATTAAATTAATACATAATGGATGTAAGGGAAATTGAAAATTAATGAGTTAGTCACCCTAATTAAATTGCGGACAGGCAGCAGGCAAGCAATCACAAAGAGAAACCGCATAAAAAAAGGGTAGAGTTCCATCTGGGCAGGGATCGCCAACAATACACGGCCCGGCTAGTGGGATGCATTCCCAATCTTCTAATGCTTTCCCTAGCAGGCTAGCATCGCCATACCTGAAAACACAAACACCATTAAAACTGTTTTCATACATACATACATATACATACATATATACATATACATATATATATATATATATATATATATATATATATATATATATATATATATATATATATATATATATATATAAGTTAAAATAAGAAGGGTACTTAAAATAAGAAGGATAAGAAAACATCTTGGCTCTTCATCTTATAAATCCAACGCATGATATTTTACGTACACATAATGACCCTTTTTTAACTCATAGTGACCAAAATAATTTTTTTTCACTTTAGTGACTATTTTCTATTGTTATAGTGATTTTCTTTATTGTTATAGTGACTATTTTTATTGTTATAGTTTTCCTTTTTTTTACGTGAAATCTTTAGCGTTGGATCTTATCATTTGAAGGGACAAAATTTCTTCTTATTCTTCTTATTTTAAGCACTTTTCTCATTGGATATATATATATATATATATATATATATATATATATATATATATATATATATATATAGTAAAAGTTAAAATAAGAAGATTACTTAAAATGAGAAGGATGAGAAGACATCTTGGCTCGTCATCTCCTAAATCCAATGCATGATATTTTATGTACATATAGTGACCATTTTTTAACTCATAACGACCAAGTAATTTTTTCACATAGTGACTCTTTTTATTGTTATAGTGACCCTTTTTATTGTTATAGTAACCCTTTTTTTACGTGAAATTTCTAGCATTAGATCTTACCATTTGAAGGGTCAAGATATCTTCTTATTTTAAGCACTATTCTCATTGGATTCCTCCCTTATTCTTATTTTCAAGACACGACTTTAAACGTTTTTATCTCCAAATCTGTAAGGCAAAAAATTATGAAAACTTGATATTCTAGAAATTTACATTGAGATGCATCTAATAAGATCCCATTTGAATATATTATTTCTTATAAAATGATGAGAATTTGTGGTCAAACTTTTTGAATATTGACTCTATAAATAGAAATTGGTCAAAATTTAAAGGACGGATGAAGTATATGTTAAGTCCTCAACCGGTTAATTGATTATATTACAGTTCACCCAGACAAGCCTTATTTGACAATACAATGAGTTCTCTGATTATAATCACACCAAATAACATTATATTACCATGTTAAGTATCTAGATTGTTTCACCGGATAGCGCTACTTAACCCCTATTCTTCTGGAGAGGGTTTATGACTTTTCCTGATTATGTTGGGCATTGTCGTATATTCAAAGACCTTTTACATGAGAGATACTGCTACTGCGATCTCCTTCCTACCAAATATCAGTCCCAACTAATCTGGGGAACAAGTTATAGGCATATACGAGACAAGTCCCTCACGCCCTTAACCCAAAGAAGAGTTGTGAGCTTATGTGTGATAAAAAAGCAGCAAATAGTATTTCGAAGAATCCACTGCAGCATGATCGGACGAAGCATGTTGAAATTGACACACTTGATAAAGGACAATTTAGAGGCCAAGATTATCAGTCTTTCATTTGTGCGTTCGAGTGAACAAATAGCCGATATTTTGACCAAAGCAGTTGGAGTGCGGGTGTTCGAGGATGTTTTGTGCAAGTTAGGTGTCGAAAATCCTACAATCCAACTTGAGGGGGAGGGTAGGAAACTAGATAAATAATTCTCCAAGATTCTATCCTGAAATCTAGGAAGATAGTTAGCAGTAAATCTATCTATAATCAGCAAAATTGTAATATAAATATAGGTAATCAGTTGTAAAGAATTATACAAGAAAGCAATACAAAAACCAGAATTTAAACTCTTCTTTTCTAGCTAAAACACTTTAAAAATTTGGCGACATTTGTGGGAATTGGGACAAAGAGTCCCCTAATAAAAAACAACGGTTACTCCATTCAATTTCATGATGAAGGTCATAGGCTTCCAGAGGATAAGATTCGAGATGCAGAAACTAATCAGGAGACAATTGCAACAATCTCTAAAGACTATATAACAACAAATCCTAGAACTCAATGGTAAATCTACCCTTGAAACCTCTGGCCACAACTCCATAAGAAAATTATTCATGGATTCCACTCAAGTCTACAAAGAAAATTCCAATTAACTATGCTTTAACCGCTTTGGAAACGATGAAGAAATTGGACGAGCATTGGTTAGAGCTTAGAGTTGCTCTTATAGTTCTCTAAGCATATTGAAATAGTCAAGACTCAAGACCTATTCTTCCATTACACCTGGGTACTAGGTGCACAAATTAACGATTGTCGTTGCATTAGACCATCCATTATTATGGGAGGATTCTCCCTCCATTTTTATCACTTAAGGACCATCCTTACTCTTGCGGGAAAAATGTTAAGGATCCTCCCTTCTTCCTTGAGGATTCCTCAAAATCATCTATGGGTGGAGAGTTTAGATACTCCTTTCGTACCCCTTTATTTGTCCTATTAGAATATTTCACTTGAAAAGTGATAAACTAAAATACGGAGTATGATTTTTTGTTTGTATATACTCCCTCCGTCCCTTCATTTTTGCCCCATTGTAAAAATATGGGTCAAACTTTTAAAACTTTGACCATGAATTCTCATTGATCTATAAGTGATAATATATTCATGTGGGATCTTGTTAGAATTGTCTCACTGTATAGTTTATTAATATTAATTTTTTATAATTTTTACATGTATAGAAATGGAGATATATGCATTTAAAGACGTGTTTTGGAGACCGTGAAAAGTCAAATGGGGCAAAAAATAAGGGACAAAGGGAGTATAAGTTAAAACATATCTATGTGAAATCTTGTTAGATTCGTGTCGAAGTATAATTTTTTAATATGTAAATATTATAATTTTTTATAATACGTATTTATAGATATTATAACTATATATGTCCTTTAAAAACTGTGAAAAAATAAATGTGATAAATAAAAAGAAATGGAGGGAGCGCTATCTTAGCTCTGGTGCCAAACCATTATTGTTTATTATTTTTTTTTGTCAAACCTAACTTAAAATATGCGGTGTAATTAGGGGTGAAACAAATTCGGGTTAAAACCGAACCGAACCGAAAACCGAACCGAATAAGAAATATGGTTCGGTTTTTTTTTTGAAGTGGTTCGGTTCGGTTTTTTTAAAAAAAAATATTTCGGTTTTCGGTTTGGTTTCGGTTTGAGGAAATGGAAAACCGAAAAAAAACCGAAAACCGAAAATTAGGCCCAGTATATAAGGAAAAAAAAAAACCCTAACCCTCATCCTCATTCTCTGATTCTCTCTCCTGACTTCCTCAGTTCGCCTCTTCCTCCCTCATTGCGAATTTCTCAGTCTCTCACCCTCACCTTCTCAGTTTCTCAATCATCTCTTTTGTGTTTCTCAGAATTCTCACTCTCCAATTCTCCATCGTTCACCGGCACAGCGCACTCGTTCAGGCGTTCACTGTGACACCGTCCACCGTCCAAAGGTATGCTTTTAAGTTTTGATTATGCTTGATGTTCATATTTTTTTAGGGTTTTAATTATGATTAGTGTTAAATGTTAATTACGAAAATCTGCAAATTACATGTACAAATTTGTTAAACATTCTGATTAGGGTTTTAATCTATGCTTGATGTTCATATTGCGATGTTGTTTCTGAATTTTCTATTCTGTACAAATTAGTAAAACATTCTGAATTTTCTGGTATTTTGATGCTTCGGGGTTTTGGTCTATTCAAGGGTATTTTGGGTTTTGGTCTAGTAAAACATTCTGATTAGGGTTTTGGTCTAGTAAAACATTCTGAATTTTCTGGTATTTTGAAGCTCTATTCGATTGGACTCTGTTGAAGATTGTTTCAGATTATTAGTTAGTTATTAATTCAAGGGTTCGCATGATTAATAGCATTATCATTGTCTTGATAAGTGTTTATTAGATTGTTGATCTTTGTTATTATTGTTAATTTTGATTTTACTTGTTTTGGGTACAGTTAGTCAGTTAGTGCTTAATTTGATTGTTTTTGGGTGGTGGGGTGGAATCTTAGGGGGCTAATTATTATTGCTAAATTGTTATTGTCTTTGGTTTAGTTAGCCAGTTACTACTGATTTTGTTTATTAGGGGTATAATTATTATTCCCTTTAAAAGATCCAATATTCTTAATTTATGAGTTTGCATGTATTCTTACAGATTGTTATTCAACCACGAATTATTGAATGACAACCAACGTGGGTGGTGTTCCTGACCAGCCTCAATCCGAACATGAGACTGACCAAGTCTCTCAAAATCTGAAAAAAGAACAGGGAGCAAAAAGGAAGAGGATGAAAGAACGCTCTGAAGTTTGGGAGCACTTTGATAAAGAAGACTTACCTTCTGGAATGCAGGCAATTTGCAAGTATTGTGGGATGAGCTACAAGTGTGGGGCAAAGAAAAACGGCACTAGTGTG